GGCTGCCCTGCATTCTGTGTCAAACCAACCATACATTGTGGACTGAAAGTTTTTGTGTGTAGAAGTTTTTACGCAAGGTCTGAGCTTGTTTACAGTTTGTTGACAGAGCTCTAGATGGTTTGTTGACTTGTCACCAAGTTGGTGATGTATACTCATCAAGCAGTCACTGTGTAATTTCTCTTTGATAGAACTGCTTAGATCAATTGACCACTTCACCCTCCTTTCTCCCAACAATTCTCCAGTTAAGTTTTCTGTTCTGGATAATTCTGACACCGCTAAAGGGAAATGGTCACTTTCTATGCATTCCAGGATGTCAAAGGTATTTACTTGGGGGAAAAACCCTGGTGATACCATGATGTGATCAATGGCACTGCCGCCTCGTTTGCTCAGATATGTGTAATAGCCTCTGGATAAGTCCTTTGGACTCCCGTGCAAAGTGTATAAGCTGTGATGGTATATGAATTCTAAAAGTTTAATACCCTGCTGATTATATTTGTCATCCATAGAGGTATGTGAAGTTAGAAAAATATCCTCCAAATCTAGCCCTATGGGTTGCAAAAGGCCTTCTGAAGCATCTCCAATCCGGGCATTGAAGTCCCCGCATATAAGGTTGATGCTGTGGGAGCTTTTGACTGTATCTTTTCGAGCAGGAATATTAGATCTTCCCATATTTTGGAAGTCACTATAGGACCATTAGGAGGGGGGAAATACACATTTATACAGGAAGAAAAACTTCCCTGTATCTGTGATTATTTGCAGTGGCAGAAGATAATTGTTTTGCAGGCCAAAATCCACCATCTGGGATTCTACAGCTAATTCTGTTGAGACAAAGGACACCAAACCACCACTTCCTCTACCCTTTTTTGATTTTTTTAACAGTTGGGAGGCTAAATGCTTTATAACCATGTAGGAATGGAGGGTTAAGTTAATGTGTCCAGGTCTCTTGCAGACAGATAATGTCGAATTTCTGAATAGTTTCAATGAATTCCTTATCTGCCACTTTATTTTCCCAGCCGGCCAGATTCCAGGAGACTATATCCAACCCCATTTGCTTTTTATCCAGTCAACTGGAGTTTCTAGTGGATGATTGAAGATGTTCAGTGTTAGTTCTTTTGTCTCCAACGAGGATCCCACTGTAGTGACCTCCCGAGCTTCTGGGAAAAAGGCCGGGGGCACATTCTTGTTTAGGACTGCCCAGATATGCTCCATCCACCATGTACCTATGATGTCCTGTGCTTCTGATCTTATGTTCTTGTTGTAGCTGGATATTGTTTGGATATGTAATGAAGGGCGGGGTGCTATGATGATGATTCCTCCCTCCCCTCCAGTTTCCATTTCTGGGTGGGCTTCCCCGCTTGTCCTGTAAGCAGAATGCTGGATGTTCGGGATGCCAAGGCCTGTTTTCATTCTGTGGCTGTTTTAGTTCAAATAGTAGATCTTCACTGAGAGAGTGTAATAAGGACCATAATTTGCATCTCACCTCAGGATCCTGGAATGTTAGTTCTATGCTTCCTCTTTGCTCATTCTTTGTCAGGTGTTTACATAATACACCATCATTTAAGTCCAATGTGTGCCCCAGAGCTGATTGTAGCTCTGCTAGGTGTTCCTTTGCTGATATCTTTGTCCCATTTGGTTTCTTCACAATCCAGTTATGTATAATCACTTGCCCTCCATTAGGGGGTCTCTTTCTATGTTGACTCTGGTTGGGGGCTGGGTTTTTTTTTCAGCTCATTGGGGAGCTTGTTATCTACTTCTCCACTACCTTTAGCCATTTCTCTGAGTCTCTTTTGGAGTGCTGAGAGAGTAGGGCATTCACTTCCTGGGACTGAAGCCTCTTTTACAGCAGAGCTATTGGAGTTTTTTGATGCGGTATTGAGTGTAGTATTATTTTTGCTGTTGTATGTCCTTTGGTTGCAGGGAGGAGGGGGAGTGTCTGAATGGCTCTCCAGGAACTCATCTATTACCAGGAATTTTGAGTCTGAGGGAGTGAGACTAAGGTTGAATTGGTGCTGTTGGGGCATAGCTCGTTTTTTCCAGATAGGGGACATTTCCTAGAGTTCAGGTTCCAGTCCTCCATTATGTCCTTTAATTGCTTGCCCATTGTTTCTTCAGATAATTTGGCTACTTCTGGCTCATAGTCAGCTTGGCAATCTACAGATCCAGTTCTGCTCTACATTTCTTGGCTTGGGTAGTTTCTTGGAGGTGCCGCAGTCAGAATCCCATGCTCTACCAGCCCAGCCAAAGCTTCGATGGTGGCCCTTAGACCGGAAACTTCTCTTTGCAGCATATCCATTCTCTGAAATTTTTTTGCTGCTGTCTGCTCTGCTAAGAAGCATTGGTCTCGCGTGAGGTCATGCATTGTGGGTTCAGCATTCTCCTTAGCTGCTGGGTGAAGTCTGCCAGACCTCTCTTTTAGAGTGTTTATAATTTCTTTATATGAAGACGATTGTCTTTTTGATGCTGGTGAGGGAGACACTTCTGTTAGGCCTGGGTCAGTGGACCAATTTGCAGCTCCTTCATTAAGGGAGAACAGGGAGGTAGATTCCGCTTCTTCACCATCATCTCTGGTCTCCATTGCAGTATAAACGGTCTTTGTGGTACTTGCTCTGTCAAATGTGGTGAGATCTGTGAATTCTTGATTCAACTGGTGCTCACTTGCTGTTGATTCTTTCTCAGCATTTTTTGGGGTCATAAAATTGATTTTTGGACAAGAGTTGGCAGAGTTTTAAGAGCAGAGGCTTTGCGTGACTGGGCCCGTGTACAGACCATCCTATGGCTTTGAGAGTTTAACTATGCCTAAAATCAAAGTCTGAATTATTTGATATTCCTGGGTTTTGTACAATGACGTTACTACTTTTACTTTCAAATTATTAAAAAACAGAAGAATACGTTCAAGATATATGTTTCATTGAATTAATACTTAAAATAATAAAAATGGCAAAATTGTAAGTAGTAAAATTGCAAAATCTTTAGAGCAGCTAATAGTAAAATATTAGAGCAGCTAATAGTAAAATAAAAGAATTATAAAAATAAGGGAGAGCAACTATCCCAAACACTTTACACTTTGCATATCCCTTGTAAAATTACCTAAATGCTGGAAATTCTCAATGGGTTTGCTTGTGAAATACAAAAATCTATATTACTATGAGAATTAGAGCAAAACCCAGTGTCAAGGTAAAGTCCAGTCAAAGATATATGGAGTAGTCTCCAGTAGTTGTTGTACTTTCACTGACTGGCAACTTTTTTGTCAGTTGCTTCCGTAAGAGGTCAGCTGAATCTACCCTTGAACTTCAGTCACTGTCTTAGTTTATTATTCTTGTTCCTTGCACCTTGCACCTTCTTCTTACTCCCTTTCACTTTTGCCTTTATTTCAACTCCTTCTCAGCACAGGGTAACTCCGATTTCAGTTAACAACAACAAAGTTTATATGAATCACACCAGAGAGATTTGAATTTGTTGTTTCTCTTTATGCTTCTGATTTCTTGTTATCACAAAATCTTCATGCTTTCAGTTCACATGGCCAGACATCAAATACTGTCTTTTACAAGGGAGCCGGTTATTTTTGCCTCTGTTTATGTGCATCAGTATTGCAAAGGTGAGACTTCCACCAGGAAGATGAAGTGAAGAGGCAACTGAAATATGATACATCATTGCAAACAAAAAATGTTTCAAGTGTGGCACAGCACTGCTGAGGGGATTCCATTTCTGACACTCTTCCATCTATGCCTGAAAGCATAATAGATTGGTGAGCAGCTTCATCTTTTAAAAAGAAAGTTCCTGTTATGACACAATCTGGGGCAAATGTGCTATTCAGGCAACACAAAGAAAACTTTTCCCCTACAGACATTTCACTAGTTTCTCATCTTTCATGGCTGCCAGCTGCAGTATCATGGAGTCCAAATTCTTTATAGCTTGACTACCTACCAAATGTGTTTAGCTTTTTAAAGGATATTGGCTGCATTCAGATGATTTAACACCATGGTATTCCTACAGGAGATGAAAGGTACAAACTAAATGACCTGTTGTCTTTCTATATATACATACAAAGTTACATTAGTATTTATTTATCGTGTTAGAAGAGAGTTGAGGATACAGTTAAAATGCATTTAAAAAACACAAAGTTAAAAAACCTTGGCATTATGCTAAATGTCTTTTGACCAGAAACTTGGAGTGCTTCTGGTGTTGCTGTGAGGATGTCCACAATTCAAGAGAGATATTGACAAGCTGGAATGTGTCCAGAGGAGGGTGACTAAAATGATCAAGGTTCTGGAGAACAAGCCCTATGAGGAGCGGCTTAAGGAGCGGGGCATGTTTAGCCTGAAGAAGAGAAGGCTGAGAGGAGATATGATAGCCATGTATAAATATGTGAGAGGAAGTCACAGGGAAGAGGGAGCAAGCTTGTTTTCTGCTTCCCTGGAGACTAGGACATGGAACAATGTCTTCAAACTACAAGAAAGGAGATTCCATCTGAACATGAGGAAGAACTTCCTGACTGTGAGAGCTGTTCAGCAGTGGAACTCTCTGCCCCGGAGTGTGGTGGAGGCTCCTTCTTTGGAAGCTTTTAAACAGAGGCTGGATAGCCATCTGTCAGGGGTGACTTTGAATGCAATATTCCTGCTTCTTGGCAGGGGGTTGGACTGGATGGCCCATGAGGTCTCTTCCAACTCTTTGATTCTATGATTCTATGTCCTCCATTGTGCATGTGGCAGGGTTCATGTTGCATTGTAGTAGGTAGTCTGTGGTTTGTTCTTCTCCTCATTCGCATGTTGTGGACGCCTCTTTGTAGCCCCATTTCTTAAGGTTGTTCTGCATTTTGTGGTGCCAGAGCGCAGCCTGTTCAGCGCCTTCCAGGTCTTCCATTCTTCTGTGCAGACTTGCAGTTACATCAGTGAAAAGTAACTTACTCAAGACATATTTTTAAATGACAAAAATGTCCCATTAGACAGAAAGACAGGCAATCCTTTACTGTTATCAGAGGTGCACTTTATGGAACAACCAAAATGAAGGTATTGACCTTCCAATAAGAATTCTCTCTCATCTCCCTATTTTTATCCCATCTTTCTCCTGATATAAGGATTCAGTTTTTAACATGGCAGAGAATGGGACATTTCAAACTGCTCACCCATAAAACTCTTTTATTTGATGTATTCACATTCCTATGGTCACTTCTCCTGCCTTTTTATTTGGATGCCTAAACTATATTTCTAAATGCTTCACTGTACATTTAAGTCAGTGCAATACTGGAAATGTAGGTACTGAAAGAAAAATTCATTGGAGAAGAATTCTTATTTGGGGAGAAGACGGTGCCCCATGCTGTAGCTATACCCATTACTGTTACCCATTTATGGTTCTTAGCAAAGACTTTTGTGGCCTGATCTCATGGATTATTTGGACAAGTAATGAAGTCATTCCAACATAGATAAGTATTAGCAGTGCTTATTGCATGTCTATTTTTACATCCCACAGAAGAGCTGATGCCTATCCAAAATATATTACATTCCTTTTTTGCATTCATTTCAATGAACAGTAACATCAAGATGCTGTATCAACAGTAAACAAATGCAGAATAATACATAAATCAGTAATGAGAAGAGCAACATGAATAAATACAAACCATTTTGCATTTTTATTAATTAGTTCATTTAAAATATATTTTATGGATCGTATTATCATGTTCTCAGTATGGTTCAGAAACAGAAAAGAAGCTAAAATACCTAAGGCATCACTGTGAAACATATTTAAACAGTGCTAAAATGTATGACAGATAAAAAGTCAAGCAGGAACAGATTAAGGGCCCACGCAAATAAAAAGGCCTTCCAACATGGCATCAAAGAAAGCACTTTGGAGAAGGCCTCCCACAGCTGGCAAATCCCTATGTGCTACAGGGAACACATCTGAGAGAGCTTAAAAGTTTAGCCAGTGCATATGGATGGAGAGAGATAGTCCATAAGGTGTCTGGTCCAAAGCGTCTTTTAATGTCATGCAAAATGTATAGGGTGGGCAGGCTGTAACATTGGAAACATATCATGTTTCTATTCTCTCCCAATTTGCCAATTTTATCATTGAGTTCCAAACTGTTCTTTCTGAACAGTCTTCAATGGGAATCCCAAACACAGGCCACTGCCATACTCAAAAACATTACAGAGTAGTACAAACTCAAAAGTGTCATTGGTTGTGTTGCTGATAACTCTGATGTGCACATTAAACTTTCTAAAGGAAAGAAAACTTTCTTGTCCACATGAAAAAAAGAAAACATTGTAAAATAATATGGATAAAGGAAGTGAGGCAACTGTATTGAGTCTGTCCTCTAATGTCTTTGAAAACAACTATGGGCCCTTTCAACAGCCATATAACTCAAAATATCAAGGCAGATAATCCACAATATCTGCTTTGAACTGGGTTATCTGAGTCCACACTGACATATACTCCAGTTCAATGTGGATTTTATACAGCTGTGTGGAAGAAGCTATAATCCCCAGGAGGGTTAGCCCTACTGTTAGTCAGAGTGAGGCAACTATCTCAGGCAGCAAATGTGGGAATTACGTAATGGCAGTAATATTCTGTGTGTAATTTAATGGGTTGATGTTGTATCCTTCATGCTAAAATTTGTGTGTGTGGGGGGGGAGGGGAAGATGTTTGAAGGACTTTCTCCTTCCTGTGCCAACATAATGCGGTACTGTCAGAGTTTACCATGCTATAATTGGAAAATGAATTTGTTACTACTGAATGACACAATTGAGAAAGTTAACTATATATTGTTTTAATGGTACCATGGTGTTAATTATTTAATTGATATTCATCTTTTTTAAAAAAAAGAAATCTCTGAATGTACTAGAGTTTGCTCCAGGGGAAACATTTTGTTGCTACATTGCAAAAAAAAATCATTTTTGTAATTTTAATATTGCCTTTCTAATCTGGCATTTATTTCAAATGACCTACAAATCCATAATATGGATTATTATTATTATTTTGCTTTATTTCTGCTGGGGATTATGGGAATCCAACACATCTAGAAATTGTCCCATTATATAACTCATTCAGTTAACTTTTGTCATTGATCAACATCTGTCGTTCCTACTTCCCACCCCTATCCAACACCAGATGATTAATCACCCTTCAAATGCCATCTTTCTTAAAGGTTAATAAGGAATGGATTTAATAAATAAGGAATTGTGAGTTTATTTTAGTTAGAAGACATTGATTCACTGGAAGTACAGCAACAAGTGGCTCGTTAGAAAGATCAGAGAGTAAATCAAAAGTCAAGATTCTCGATAAAACATGCTTTGAACACCTCTGAACATATAGAGAACATTTTTCTGCAAAGCTGAATCACTACATCCCATTCCCAATCAAAAAATGTGGTCTCAAAACATCAGTGGCAGAGCACTATTTTGCCTGTGAGTGATAGGAATCTCAAGTTCAGTCCATGGCATCTTCATATTAAAAGAGCAGGTATATAATAAGCTCATTACTCTCTGCACCGCATTTATCCTAATATCTGTTTGGAAATGGAATGCCCCCCTTTTCTCAATATAGTGAATAGCTTTTAAGGTGAGCTAGGGTGTCATTTACATTAAAGCAACACAGTCTTGATTAATTCAAAGCAGATATAGATCCATAATTCTAGGTTATAAATCTATACTACAATATTGAATGCCAGCCGTCTTTGCTAACAAAGCCTTAAACATCTACTCAAAGAGGAAGCCTTGTCTTGCTGGTTCTAACTTTGCCTTTCATCCCCTCATTAAAAATAGATGCATCACTCCTATGTCTATTAATTTGTAATAAGTCTCACTGAACTCAACGACACTTTCTTCTGAATAGACTTCTTTATTTCTAAAAAAAGGAATGAAAAGCTATAGCAAGGTATGAGTTTGGCTTCATGTACCATTTTGTTCCAATATCAGTCATTAATAGTGCCAACCAGATCTGTCAAATCATGTAATACACTTATAACCTCATCAGATGGGGTGAAATCAGTGTCCTAGGATGCTTTTACCCATCTGAGGGAAGGAGGCCAACACCAGAGGATATACAACATTGTGTGGCTTCCAGCACGGGGCGTCCCTGCAAGGGTAATGCTTTTCTGATGTGGTGGGGAAAGTGTCATCAAGAGGAAGCAACATACAGGATGATTTGCCCTGCTGCTCCCTTTTTACTTGGCATAAACCATATTAAGTGGAACACTGCCTGGCAGTTTGATGAGGTGAGAGTACATGAGGGCACAGGAGAAACTAAAGATAGATCTATATTGTACAGTAGAATCAGTGCAGTTTGGAACCACTTAAGCTATAATATAGTGTTTCTCAATCTGGGGGTTGGGACCCCTGGGTGGGGGGGGGGTCGTGAGGGGGTGTCAGAGGGGTCACAAAGACCATCAGAAAATACAGTATTTTCTGTTCATCATGGGGGTTCTGTGTGGGAAGTTTGGCCCAATTCTATCATTGGTGGGTTCAGAATGCTCTTTGATTGTAGTTAAACTATAAATCCCAGCAACTACAACTCCCAAATGTCAAGTCTATTTTCCCCAAACTCCACAAGTGTTCACATTTGGGTATATTGGGCATTCATATTTTCTGTTGGTCATGGGAGTTCTGTGTGCTACGTATTCAAATTTGTGCGTATTTGGTATTTGTGCAAAATTTGGTCCAGTGAATGAGAATACAGCCTGCATATAAGATACTAGCTGTGCCCTGCCACGCGTTGCTGTGGCCTATAGTAAAACTTATCAAAGTTGAGGTAGATATCTGGACTATTATGAAAGAGAGGTCCCTACCTATTCCTTCCCCCTTTTCCTCCCCCTTTCTCTCCTTTCTTCCTTCTCTACCTCTTTCTTTCTTTCCTTCTTTCACTTTGATTTCATCCTTCTCTCTTTCCTTCATTCCCTCCCCTTTTCTTCCTTTGCCTTTCTTCCCTCCCTGTTTGCTTCCTTCATTCACTTTATATTTCCTTTTATTTCACCACCATCATAACAATAACAATAATGCAATGCATTGCCTCTGAGACCTGACACCTCTCCCATTCCCCCAGGGTCTCATAGGAACAATAGCATAATAATAATAATAATAGAAATAACAACCTTTACCCGCCACATGTTGCTGTGGCCAATCTTCCCTCTTTCTCTCCTTCTTTCCCTCCTTCCTTCCTTCCCTCCCTCCCATCTTTCCTTCTCCTCTTCCTTCTCTATCTCTCTTCCTTCCTTCCCCCTTTTTCTTTCTCTTCTGTTGTCTCTCTTTTCTCTCCTTCCATCTTTCCTTTTCTTTCCTTTTCTTCTTCCTTCTTTCTCTAACTTTCCTTCCTTCCCCCTTTTTCTTTACCTCCCTTTCTCTTTCTTCCTTCTTTCCTTCCTTCCTGTCTTTTCTGGATTTTGACAGGGCGGGAAGGGGCGGGGTGGGGTTTGGAGGTGGCCTGAAGTAAAAGGAGGTAAGATTGGGGCAGGGGGGTGATGGAGCGTGGGGTTGCGTGTGTGTGTGCGGCGGCGGGGGGGGGCGTGTGTGTGTGCGGCGGCGGGGGGAGTGATGGAGCGTGGAGTTGCGTGTGTGTGCGGCGGCAGGGGGAGTGGTTGCGTGTGTGTGTGTGTGCGGCGGTGGGGGGGGAGTGATGGAGCGTGGGGTTGCGTGTGTGTGTGCGGCGGCGGGGGGAGTGGGGTTGCGTGTGTGCGTGCGGCGAGCGGGGGAAGTGATGGAGTGTGGGGTTGCGTGTGTGTGTGCGGCGGCGGGGGGAGTGGGGTTGCGTGTGTGTGTGCGGCGGCGGGGGGAGTGATGGAGTGTGGGGTTGCGTGTGTGTGTGCGGCAGGGGGTGTGTGTGTGCGGGAAGCGGCGCGGCAGGGCTTGGAGTGGGCATGGTTTCCGCAGAGGGAACGTTGGCCGGAAGGCCATGTGCGCGCGCCAGGGAACTTGCGGCTGGGCGCCAATGCGCATGCTCAGTTGTTTTGCCGTTTTGTGAGTGTGTTGTTGTGTTGTTTTTCATTTGAGTAGATATGTTTGTACCTTGTGGGTTGTGTTAT